GAGGAGGGGCTGGAGGCAGCACAGGTATCTCCTCCCTTGGCAAAGGTGGAGCAGGAGGAGGAGGAGGTGGTGGCATGCCCGGCAAAAAGTGGTCCAGGTGTGGCACTGCTGAGCCAGCAGAAGGAGGAAGTCCTAAGCCGGGCAGGGGTGGTGGGGGTGGTACTCCTGCCATGGACATGGGAGTGGCAAGGGAAGGGACATGTGCTCCAGACAGGGGAGCAGCCGGTTCGGTGGCTGGCAGTGATGGGTCAATGCTACGTGTGGGCTCCGGGCGCAAAGAAAGAGGATGTTCACTACAAGTCACATCTACAGTACTTAGAGGCTGATGGGAAGCTGGCATTGCAGTCTCTCCTTCAAATGCAAGGGACAAATTAATTTTGGGTCCTAGAAGAGGTGACTGCGGCGTACTCTGTACTGATTGGCTTGCATCCAGTGGCACCGAGATCAGCTTCGGCGACAGAATTAAGGAGATTTCAGAACAAAATATGGGCTGTAGTTCTAAAGCTGGCAATTTCCGAGTTGGCTCTTCACTTTTGCCCCCTTCTAAGTGCGGTGTTGGGGGTGGCTGTGGCAGTGCATTAGCTGAAGGCATTGTGTGTGTTAAGTAATCCTCCGTTGGTGATGTTTGCACAGATCTTGCTTGTGACACAGCCCTGGGTACGGTCTCCTCTCCGTTCGTTTGAGGAGTCACACTGCTGAGTTCCCCGCAGACTGCGTTCATGTGCTCATTTTCCTGCTCCCTCCCAGCAGTCTGTACCTCTGCAGCAGGGAACTGTTTCTCTAGTTCTGCAATTTTGGTCCTCAGATCCTCAATAGTTTGCTCAAGTTGTTGAATGACACTGGCACGCTCCTCAGATTTCACCTCAAAATCATCCTTTGAAAGAAAATAAATATATAATAAGCACAAAACAGATAACATTCATCACTACATAAAAAAAATTAAATTTAGATCAAAAATATTGGTATTCCAGATGTTCAGAAATAAGCCAGTTATGACAAGCCTTTAAAAACAGAGGTATCATTTTGGCTAGCTGCATCTTACAGTGGAAGAAGATAGCTTAGGAAAATTACTTGCTTCAGTATGAAACTACCTCCATCAGTATGAGCATGTTGTAGACTGTGGTTATATTTAGCAAAACCAAAAATCAGCAGCAACCCCTCCCTCTCCCCACATACCCTGACCAAGAAAACAACCAACAACTGAGCACAAGTACTGCAAGTGTTTGTATACACATGGATATGCAGACATGGTGATGGGAAGGGCACTGCATTACTTTAATTCCGTTAACTGAAAATACGTTAAGTGTTTCTGCAAAGGGATGCACTGTGCATAACAGACTCAACACACTACTGACCGCTGGGTTTCAATATACACCTTAATGATACAATACAGATTAGGAATGCAGAACATAACAAATGTGCACTTTTCGAAAACAGCTATTCTCAGAACAGAGTAAGTATGCTTTTCTCCAGCCAGCATGCTTGAGAAGGAAAAGAAGTAAGACAAAACTAAGGGAAAACTTTCCTCCCACCCAAAATTTGAAACTCCTTTGCCAAGTGACAGACTGTGAGTGAGTAACATTAGAAAAGTTTCCTGTCTGGAATGGTTATTCTGTATTTGACAGTTTCCACTTTTTTTTATCTCTTTCTCTGAAGTATCTAATCCTGCCTGCTGTAGACTGAGTGGAGGAACCATTAACCTTAAACAGCACAGTAGTTCCTATGTTTTTAAATAAATACCAGTAACAAACTGTACTAAATTTAATGGTATGTGCCTTTATCAAAAGGTACCAAAACAAGCAACCTAGTCCAAAAATAGCCATTTGTGCTTATCAGGAAAGTTGAACAGGAGATAGAACAGACATGACTTCACAACACAAAATCTTTTAATAGAAAACTTATTATTTTCTGGTTGCATGCATTTACTTTTTAGTACTTTTTTTTTTCTTTAAATTTGGAATATTGGTCAGCATTTCAAGCATTTAGTTGAATTAAGTTTGTCATGCAACAGGTTTCCCAAGTGGCTACAGCAAAACAGCTATTTAGTGCCTTTTTGTTCCCTTTTATAAAATCATAAGCTTCATGGATGAGACTGTAGGCTTACTTCATAGGAAATCTTTCAACTATTCAGATTTTACAGGTCTTGTAAAGAAGCCTACAAATAAACATACAATACCTGATATACTAATTGCCTTGATTTGTTTCAGGAAGATGATGTTTTTCATCTCATCCTTTGACACATGAAACATTTAAGTGTCATTTTTCTTTCTGGAAAATGAAGTTGTAACTTCCAGCTGGGGACTATTAATAAAATATATGTTCATTAATACTTAAAAAATTGTTTCTGCACAGAATTGGTTTTCAAACATAAAATTTCAATTTCATGTTTATATTAGAGTTTCCCAGCTGTCCTAAGGCAATCCCAGAAGTAAACCAGCAACTACTACATTTAAACCAAATATTGTTTGATTTTGAAGCACCTTTATCAAAGGTATCAAATTCCTACTTTCTTGAACAGCAGTTTGAACCAAAAGTTAGGGATTATAACTAGATCTTCCTACCAAACTTTGAAGAGAAATGTAAAACAGAGAAAGGAACATCAAAAAAGTTTTTCAATGAATAGCGAAGGAATGAACAGAGCAGACATATTAACAAACAGTATTATAACAAGGAAAAAAGGCTGAAAAACACATCTCCATTACAGACTACTCATGGTGCTTCAATCCAATCAGTTTCCTTCAATAACTCAATACTTTGTAGCAACAACAGTTTTGTTGAAGAACTTCATTACAAAGGAGAAAGAATATTCTATTACCGCTTTGTTTCATCTGCTCCTATCCCCCTACCAGTCAGCTGCAAATACAATAATAAGGCCTATCAACTCTTCAAAAGGCAACATTATCAAAGGAAATGTGTTCCTAGGATTATTAAAGCCACACACCAGTTTTCAGTTATTTGAGAGCAAATCCAGTTTCCCCAGACTGTAACTCTCCTAAGCTCCCATTTTACACTGTAAGAACACTCCACCAAGGGTTTTATGATAGATACAGCTTCCCAATTCTATATGAATTGGAAAATTCATTCCCGCCACAAACAAACTGAAGTCAACAGGATTAGACACAATATTAAATGGTTCTGAAGATATTTGCCTTAGTGATGGCTGATCTCAGAACAGTTCATTGTTTTAAAAACTCATTTAACTCAGGAGATTGGATTCAACTTTTCACAAGAAAAAGCGGTAATCCTTGAATCCTGAAATTCTACCTGAACTACAGGAAAAACCTAGAATTCACTGTTTTACAAGAGAATTTACCCTGCAGACCATGAAATTTCTTTCAAGAGAAGAAGTATTTTTTTAAAGTTTAAAAAAAATAGGCAATCAAGTGAGAAGATTAAGCAATACAAACAAGAAACAAAAATGTATTGATGAATTAAAGTGACTTTTACCCCATGCCCTAAGAAAATTTTTCTGCTGTCCTTGAGACATGGCATTTCAGACAACCTGGTGATTTGCTATTGTGTTGTTACCTAAGAATCACCAATATATCTAGGTTTTCACAGAAACAGCATATTATGAACAAACAAGCCTTTGCTGTGAATACAGAGATATTTATCCAGAGGAAATTACATACTTTAAATTTATTTGGTTTAAAAAACCAAACACAAACCAAAATTAAGCCCCAGTATTTATACGCGTCAGTAATTATTTTAGATAGAGATATTTTTCATTTTGACTTTTAAGATGCCCTCAAACTAGTTTAATTAGATTTCTGCCTTTCCCCTAGCAAGAAGTTTAAAGTCTTCCTCTAGATCAGAAAGGGCTGTATCAAACATAAGCCACAGCAAGTTTCCACTATCCTCAACAAGGAAGAAAATTTAAAATATATATAAGTCCAATCAGAAATGAAAATTAGACAGTTTTCTTAGAAAAGTAAGCAAGGGAAGACTTAATTTTTCACACATGTAAAAGATGGTCAAAAGCTGTTGACAAGAACCAGAAGACCCAGATAAAAAATACACATAATGAAAAGAAGGTTCATTTTTAATCCAAAGGACAATTCCACAGCAGAAACCTACAGGGTTTAAAAGAGATATGAGGGAGCTCTCTCTTGCCTAGAGTTCTTACCCAGGACCCAGGTACTGTGGAACAGTCTTCTTTCTGTAAAGAAAGAAAGAAAGGTGGAAGCTTAAGCCTTGCTTTATCCAGGTGACTTGAACGTGAAAGACGTGAGCAGGAAAAAAAATTCCAGAGGTGTATGGCTATAGAATGGTGCCCAGCATTTCTCAAACAGGTTGTACATGTTCCATGTGCAATGAGTTGGATGCTCAATCTGGGGCTGCTGGACTGACTGTGTTTGTGTTGCACTGGTAGGTGCGTGTGTGTACAGTATCCAACTGATCTGGGAATACTGGCTTTACTGTATAAAGGTTGTACACTTGGATCTGCACATGTACCAAAAGCCCGTATGTTACATCCCATTCATTCCAATCTTGTCATGTTTTCCACACGTGCACATCAGATGTCCAGCATAAAGCTGATCCATATAGATAGAACACGCCCAGGATCTTCAAACATGTAAAAGCTCAGATTGCAGCTACCTTCTCTACTGAGTCTGATATCCTAGTTTCTCAGATGAGTGACTGAAACTTACAGACCCTTCAATAAAACTAAATTTCCAGGCAGAAAAAACCCCACACATCTGTGAAATTTAGCCATAGTCTAAATGTATATATATACACACACACATATATACATACATATATATACACATATATATGTGTGTCCGTATTATATATTTGTCTCTATCTATGTATCTCAACTTGCATTCACTTATATACTTTATGAACAGCCATAATGTGTGTTTTTCTTCTGAAAATAAACATAATGGCAGTTCGTAATGGTAATTTTGGAATATTTCAAAAAATACAGACACATTACAGTTTAGTTTTAGAAGTTAATGCCTTATACTTAATGGTGATTTTGGAATATTTGAAAAATGCAGACACATTACAGTTTAGTTTTAGAAGTTAATGCCTTATACTGTCACAAGCCAACAAGTTGCATCAGCAGTTTGATAATTTTCAGCAATTTGTCACTTAGTGTCATGAAATTTCCTCTCTGGGTGGAATTCATATTTAGATGATAGGATTATACTACTCGTTTTTTTTCCAAAACATTAACCTTTTAGTTTCTCTACATCAGAATTCATGATTCAGAGTCTCTGCTGTTATTTGACTGCAAGCACGCACAGGGAATAGAAGCATACAGTTAAACAGGACTAAGATGGCAAAATAAAAGACCCCTCAGGTCCTCCAATAAGTCAACACCTTGTGGTACTAGCAGCGTCCAGTTACTTAGAAGGATGCTCTTTCCAACTGCTCTGTTAATAAATGCCTCTTTTCTACATCAAGTGAAAAATTTTTGAGCATGCACGCTCACTGAATGGCACAAAGTAGTGCCACAGTAGGGATTTAATTCAGAGAAATGTGATCTCTGTTCAGGTTTCTCTTTTTAAAGCTGTCTCATTTTCAAAGCTGCTTCTTGCAACTGCAGATCAACCTTAAGAAAAGGAGACACAACATTTTAAACAGGCATTTTCAGTGTTATAGCAACTGTCAAGTGAGAAGTACTAATGGACACATGATTTACATTCAAACAAAATAACATCCACCTAATTAATTATCACATTTCCTTTAATCCTCAAAGCCCATTGCAACATTTTAGTTTACAGTAGTAGAAGTTGAGTCAAAAGCTGGCAAACTTGCCAACGGCATCAGGGAGAACCTCTGAAGGAGTAGAATTTGTATTGGATATTAGTTTCTTCCTCAGACTATGAGATCAAATCTTTTTTGAGAAGCTTTTATTATACTGAAGGTGCATGTATGGAGCCAAAGGAGATACATTTTCACAATAGTTTAAGCTACACTCCATGTTTCTTCCTACAACCACAAGGAAACACGATGCACAGCTCCCCAAGATAGCACTGAACAAGCAAGGCCTGGAATACAAATGATGTAATGCCCTGCCCTGCCTGAAGTGATAAACTTTATCTGGTGGGCGTGAGCTAATCTCCCACACAATGACACACTG